CACTATTTTAAATTATTTTATAGAATAAATTATTTTTACATAATTTAGTATAATATACTTTTTACATAAAACTACATATTTCTTTAATTTTTTATGTATTTTACTTGCAGTAAAGGAACATTTCAAAAATGAGTTTGTCAATGTACGAGTATATCCCTGGAATTCTTCTTTCTGAAATACAAATCAATATTTTTTCCTATAATCTCTCGACCTTTGTTCTGAATTATCAAACAGCCGTCGGAAATCACGAATTCTCAAAAATCAGGATGAGCGATTCTTTGCTAAGCAGAAACATAAATAATCACGTATACTCTCATGTTCGGGTTGAGTTCATGCGAACTCGATCAAAATCTGACAAACATTTCTCAGAACTTCTAGTTTTATCAAGTTTCTTGCCCTTTCCTGACAAACATGCCAGAGATGCAGATATATGATACATTATTATGGGCTTCATAGTAGGACTGTTCATGTTTTCACCGCCTCCTCTAATCATTACTCTATGTACTACGCAAAAATGTTCTATTTCATTACAGAAAATTGTTTTTATTAAACAATTTGAAAAACTACCATAAATTTGTATTTTAATATTTTTCTATTTTTGTTGAATGTTTTTGAAAAAATAATGACATGTACCCACATACTCTCACCCGCCTACCATTGGCTACATATTATCTTGTTTTATATTACAATAATTTCATTACCCGACTGATGAATAATTTCATGTTAGTCATGCGCAAGATCTAACAAATTGAGAGCCTAATTGTCACATACAAGAGCACAATAGCATCAAATCGAAAAAAGAAGCTTAAAATTAGTAAAACCTATATTACTTATTTCCAATGCGCACAGAAATTAAATGAAAGCTATGCAGCCTTTGGGCATGTGAGTGGAGATTATAGTTTCATTAGATAATAAGGAAATCTAGAAACAAAATACAAAAACAATGAAACAGTTTCTATTTTAAATGAAAACTGTTTTCGACATGCGACAAGCAACAGCTGAGGTGATGCAACAGCAAGTTGCCAAGGAAGCCACCCACTATTCAATATTTACTCTTCACATGTTTCGTTACGAATCAGTAACTTTATTTAAAATTCTTCACGTCAAAGATATATTTTACTGTATATATTACACTGTACTATGGTATTACAAATACCATTTGTAAAGACGTATTAATAAAAAACAAGTAAAATGTTTCGTCGCAGACGCTGTAAACTGTTTTAAAAATATTTGCATGTGTTCAAAATTTCCTTCATACTTCATTTCGTACCTAGATTTGTTCAAGTACGATCTCTCAGTATCTGCCTTTGGACGTATCAATGAATCGTAGTAGCTGATAATGTTATACTCCCGTTCAAAAGTTCCCAACATCCAATAGTCTTGTATGTTATCCCGTGTACGTCCATACGGGATATGAACTGGTTTTATTGAAATTTCAAAATTACAATCGCCGTAAGAATTGCTTGTAGGTTTTGATGATGCTAATAGTTAAATTTTAGTAAGTTACATTTTTTCGTTAGTTTTCTAAAATGCACAAAAATGCACTAGCATATTTGCATTAGCACAAATGCTAAATGCAAAAATGCAGATTATTCCCAATCAGTTCCGAAAATTCTGTCGCTACATCTTTTAAAACTACATTTGATTCTTCCCAAGATTTCCTTAACACTTCCGTACTTTTCTCTCCTAGTTTTTGAAGAGATTGAACTTCATAAACAGTCTAATTTGTGTTCACTTCTACTTCTGCAATTGCTCTATTGTTTTCTATGTGAATCTAGCTTTACATGCAAATCTAACATTAAGAGGCAATTGTTTTGTATGTTTGTGTGAATAAGGTGTTACTTAAGTTTAATAAGCATATGTTGTGGGTAACAATCATTTTAAAATCGGTATTTACACACTTGTGTAGGAACGTAAATGTGAGAAGTCGGACATTGATTCATTTTCTAGCATTACTACTGGTTCTTTTCTCCGTGTTCACTTGAAATTCTTCAGGTTTAATAAGTTCCAAAGTAAATACTTTTTGTAGTTTTTCGCAAAGTTATTTTAGAAAATAACGATTCGCACATATGCACACTCAAGAGATTTACTCGAATACTATTACCAAAATATTTAATTTACTGCAGTGTTATACGAGAGTAATAACGTTGTTATTGAGCAATGTGTCTCCTACATTTCGGAAAAAAACATTGTGTGTGGACCAATAATCTAAGTAGTTAACTATTGCCAAGCTAAGAAGCTAAGCCATTGTCATCCAACATTGTAATTGAATTCGATGTGTTGGAAACAAGTTTCACAGATTGATAGCATCACATTGCAAATCCCATTCCCATTAAAAACGAGAATGAAATTTTAAAATATGCTACGAAATTCTGCATCTCTGACAGAGTTATAAGTTCCTCAGCGTGTAGGAGGGCCGAATAGATAATGGGCTCTATGAGTTACAAGTATTTGTAGATGTCGCTCTATTTTCGCATGGCCTTCAAAGACCAATGCCAAAGTAGTTGCGATTATTTCTGCTTTCTAAATATTCGTTCCTCCTCAATGCTAAGTAGGCAATTTCCGAGTAATGTAAATTTGGCAATTTACGGCAAGAATACGATCATAGAAGTACTGCAGTACTTTGCTTTGATTCACAGAAAGACGATTTAGAAAATATTTATTGGCAAACTCATATTTAAGATATTCCGTTTCGATATGTACATACACAAAAATGCAAGTAAATAAGTCAGAAGTATGTAAAATATTTTAAAATATGTAATTACACAAAAATATGTAAAAATGTGTAAAATGAAAATGGTTTTAATGTATTCAGAATAGGAGGCAAATACTAAAAAATATTTCATGAAGGTATCCAATAAAAATGTGTACTTACACGAAAATTGGTTCTCGAATGATAAGCATTATCATCAAAATACTACATAGAAGAGATAGAATAAAACCAACAAACGAAAATCATAGGATTATTGCGCATTATTTTACAATTAGTTAGTATAATCATTTTAAAAATGATACACACAATAAATTATTGTAAAGCATTGCGTTGTCTTTTAATATGCATATTGTTAGACTTTCCTACATACGTACGTATATACGGAGAAATATACGTTGTGTAGGGAAAGTTACGTAACGCTACGGAAAATTAATTTCGACGGAAATACACGTTTTGGAGTGACCTGAAAGTGTTTTTTTCGAAACGTCCGTCCGTACGTCCCTGCGTCTGTTTGATGTATATGAACAGCACTAGCGCCTAAATCATGCGCAAGATTGAAGAAACCCTTGTTCATTTCGCCTGAGTCAAAGCTATATGATTTTGAAAACCATTCATTAGTTTTTGAGAGTACTTTACAAGAAGCCCCTGGGTCATTCTCAAAATTTTCTCGAAAACAGCTCCAATTTTTATCTTTAAATTTCTTTTAAGAATGGAGTAAAATACACTTATAAAGGTGCCATGGGTCCTATTTTTCACGGTTGGTTTCACTCTGAATGATCAAATATTTCAAAAATTTGAATTTTTTTGGGGTCTTCTTAAAAGTACAAAATTAAAGATGGATATTTTTCTTCAAATTAAATTTTCTTTCATTAAGGTCATGTACGTATTGTTAAAAATATAAGTAGTTTTCGCCTAATATTTAATGCAATTTGCGCAATTTTTAAACATTACAAAAACAAGATTTTGTAACAATTCAGTCCCAATTTTTTTTCTTTAAACTTTTGGTAGGGATTGTGTTAAATGCACCCTATGAAGATACATAAACGTCATAGCACTCTATTATTTTTGTTTTTTCAAATATGTAGTTTTTGACTTCTCTCTTACGTCATTAATATTTACACTAGCGGCAATTTGTTCACATTATTATAGTATGAGTACATGAGCTTTAAATAATGTTAAATAAAGCTTCTGGAAAACTTAACTATTTTCTGTCAGAACTTGCTCCAAAATTCCCAATTTCAAAAACGCTCAAACGCCATTTTCTTGAAAAGGGATTTAAATTTTTTCTTTAAACTTTTCAAAAGGATACTCACTTTTCAATTCACATTAATTATTCACATTAATTTTCACGTTTCCAACAATTTGTAAACAATATTGTATTTGTCAGTTAAAGTACTTTAAATGACGTGGAATAAAATTGTTTGAAAACTGAAAAATTGTCTGTGAAAAAGAGCTTTAAATTTTGAATTTACAGTGGCACTTAAACTCCACTTTTTTAAAAACGGCTCAAATTTTTCAAGAAGATTACCATTTAGGACGAGCTTTTAATGTTCTTTAAGAATCTTAAAATAATATTTCCGCTTTACAATTAGGACTCTCAAAAATTAAGAAAATGTGAAAAAAATGTACTTTGGGCGAAGATACATGGCAACAGGCAATAATATTAGGCAAGTTTGAATAGCTAGCCGAGACCAAACGAAATAGAAAACAACTACCGGAAAGTCTGCCATTCTGTAGCACCACTGATTTATTACGTAATTTTCAATCATTTTTATTAAATTAACCTGTTTTTAATTATTTCAAATTGAAAGTTGTTTATTAAATGAACTATATAACAAAGTATTATTCGGGTATGTGGGCAGGCATTGCTTAGGGCAGCATTTTCTGTATTTTATACGAAAAATTGTATTTATTACAATCTCAATAAATTGAATTGAAATTTAATAGAATATATTAAATAATCATAATTCATACATGGAGTTAGCAAGAATTACAATTATAATGCAAATAAACCGTTCTGTTATCATCTTAATATTATAATAATATTTTCAAAACTGGATGACGAGGCCAACAGAATATTTGGAAAACAATTTTTACGACCAGCAAATTCGAAAAAAATCATTATTTTGATTACAACTATCTGTAGAGGATTAAAAAAATAATTTAATGTCTGATCAATGATTCAGGTCAAATATTATTTGGCTTCGGCAACAAGTTTCCTTAACTTCTAAGAATAAAGATTTATCCAGTTCATAAAATACTATTTCCTTCAGTATAAGCTGGTCTTATGATGATCTATTCTGATTATGTGCAGAACAGCTTGTACACATGGGTGCGAGACCATCGGCAGCACCACCGGCACAGCGACACAGACGCTGACCCTCACAACGCCAGAAGAGGTCTGTTCTTCTCGCACATGGGTTGGCTGATGATGAGGAAGCTGCCCGAGGTTAAGATTGCCGGCCGCGCCATTCAGATGCGGGATTTAGAGCGAGATCCGATAGTCATGTTCCAAAAGCGGTAAGCGATTCCCAATATTCTTCTTTTTGGCCAAAGTAATTCCCACCGATGGTTTTGTTGGTTAAAGAGTTTGGTATTGTTAACGATGCTATGAGAAGTTGAGCATTTATTAATCTAGCAAAATATTCCATGAACTCTCTGGAATATTTAACGAGATAATAAGATTAATACGATCGCTGATGAGGTAAATAATTTCTAATAATTGATGTAAAAGTGTTGTCACGTATGTATGTACTTTGGCACAACAGCTCTTTACGAGCTATGGCCTACCAACAGCATACCGGACTTGCGACCATGGGTTAGCGGGTTTTTGTGGTTAGCACAGCCGTGTTGTCATGCATCAAATATAAAGCGGATCAAAAGATATTTTGGATCGCGAAGCGATCATCATCGCTATTCTTACAGCACGGTACTTTCGGTACTTTCGAAACGGTACTTTCACGACAAATAAAATCATATAAAGGACGGGTACATTCTCGTGAATGGGCTTCCAGGGGGTTTGACGCTGCATAGAGATATGATCGATAAGAAATTCTTTTGTGCAATTAAAAGTTTTAATGATTGAACACTATGTACAAAAATTCTTTACAATTAACGCAGTGCGCAAGGCCTTAATGATTCGTCACGAGTAACGCTACCTTGAGGCTTCGATGTCCAACGGCGGCGGCGTGTTCGGCAAACTTCGGTCCGCCCGAAGTTTGTCGGGAAATCGCTGCTCTCCTCGGCGTCGACTCCGCTAGGCCCCCCCCCCCCCGATGCAATGGCCAACGAGCTCGCCGGGGTCCACCACCCCAGCCAGTACAAGCAATGTCACATATACTAAACTTGCACAACGCGCAACGTCAGTCGGCAGCTTCGATCTCAACAGTTCTTCTCAATCCCACTCGAAATGTTTGCACGTGCGGCCCGCTGCTGCATCACACCCGGGCGGAAAGAACGAGTGGTCTGTCGGCCACTCAAACTCCAGTATTAATGTTTTCACTGTCCCGGTCCTGGTGCGCACTTCCATTTCTCCTAATCATCTGATTAATCAATTTTATCACCTCCAATCTCCCACTTTAATGGCTTACAATCAATCTCCAAACTGTCGGTAATATCACTATAACTTGCTTGAGGCCAGCACAGCCCGTCCGTGTTGCGCTCGCAGCCTCTCTGCCATACTCCCCAACCATCACTCGCCTCGCCCGTCTACCCCCCGATTTGACCGTTGGTGGCAGCGCGGCGGCGGCGCGGCGTTACTACGCTGATCGATTTAGTGCTTTCTTTTAATTAGAATTAGTAATCAATTGATTGTTACTATTGCAGAAACGTTCTTCGTTTCCTAAATTTATATATATATATATATAATATAATATATATATTATATTATATATATATATATATATACATATATATATATATATAAAACTTCAGGAATGTCAATTAGAATATCTGTCAAAATATCAATTAGAATGATTAAATTAATCACATGTTATATTAAAAACCCTTTCGCTTTTCTCTCTAATAAATCTATAGAGTTTTCTATTTTTCTGATCACTTCAAAAAAGCTGAGATATCAATATTTAAAGATAGAGAGTAATTTAAAGTAATTATAGATTAATTTCTCTCTCAATTTCTCCCTCCAAATATTTGAAAAGATGTTGAAAACTAGATGTGCTAGCTTCTTAAACAAAAATAAAGCAGTGTAGTTTGGTTTTGAAGAAAATAAAAGTAACGAAGATTACCAACGCAGGCATAACAAACCAAATCTATGACTGATAACACTACACCTTGTATATCAGTTCTGTGGAACTTTTTTTTTCATTCAAATTACATTTGTTGATACTATTAAACTAATTCAAAGGGCTGGGTATTCTTTAATCATCTGGTTATGGTTATTCAAAAGTTAAATGGCTTCTAAATTAAATGGTCGTTCAATCGTATTTCATGTTTGACAGCAAATCTTCTAATTTCACTGGACACGTAGGGAATTCCAAGATCACGATTCAGAGCATTTACCATGTTTCACAGAAATTTGTTCTGAGAGGTCTGTATTGTTTTTATTTTGCTTTCTTTGGTGCAACCCCAGAGCTGAACACCATAGAGACAAATCGGTTTCAGGATTTGGTTGTAGATTAAAATTTTGATTTGTATGGATAGTTGAGAAGCACTTCTCAAAAGCAAGTACAACTGTCTATATTTAATACTAAATTCATACTTTTTCTTTTTCACGAGTTCCTTCCACCGCAGTTTAGTATCTAATGTCATACTTAAGTATTTAGCACTATTTACGTAAGGTGCTTTAAGACTATTTAACATGACAGAAGGGGTGCTTACTATTGTAATTTGCTTGTTTGTAATGTTTATGTGGACAGATTTTGACTCGTTTAATTTGATCTTCCAATTTCTTGTCAAAGAGTGTATTTGATTACAAGCATTTTGTAATATGTCTGTGGCCTTCTGTGCGTCTGGGTGCGTAGCTATCAGAGCCGTATCATCAGCAAAGTTCGCCAAAATTAGGTTTTTATTGTACACTCGAATACAATAAGTAGAGAACGGGCCTCAGAATGCTTCCCTGCGGCACGCCTGCCTTATATTTTTTAGCTCTGTGTATTCTTCTTCTACTCTGACCAAGATGAGTCTCTCAGATATGCAGGACTTAAGTGTTACATACTGTGCGAATAATTGCTTTTTTAGTTTAAAAATCAACCCCTGATGCCAGACCTTATCAAAAGCCTGGGCCACCTAGAGGAAGATAGCTGAACAGACCAGTTTTTCTTCTCATGTTTTTTCTATTGTATTGGTCTTGGACTTGGTATATTGTAGAATGCTTCTGTCTGAAGTCGAACTGATGATTGGGGATTAATTTTTTCTTTCTATTATTGATTTTAACATTTTTAACAGCAACTTCTCAAAGAAAAGGAAATTAATGGGGCAAGGATATTGGCCTTTAAGATGTAACTTTATTTGGCAAATCTCCTGGTTTGGGGATAATTCTTGATATAGAGAAGTCTAAATGATCGGGTGTTTTATTCTGACCGGAAGGCCAATACGTAGGTTTGCATGTAGAATGAAAAGTGCATCCTCTCTCTCTCCTCCTCTTTCCTCTCTCTCTCTCTCTCTCTCTCTCTCTCTCATTGATCCCCTCAGTTCACTGTCTTTCTTAGGTGGCAGCCTAGATCCCCAATCCACATATTGGGCGTTATAGTCTCCCCGAACTATAAGTATATCCCCAACTATAAGTATACTATAAGTATAAGTCTTGGAGTGCACCAATATTCAGATGTGGCTTCAGAGATTTTATTGTTACTACAGTTAATTGGCCTTCAGCTAATTTTAGGTGACACTTCTCATAATGATCAATTGTGTTTTTTTATTAAAATAGCACTTCCACCTCTTGCTTTGTTATGTGGATATACTGTCTGATATACTCTATACCTGTTTAGTTTAAAATAGGTCTGCTCTGTAGAATGGGATTCAGAGATCATACAAATATCAATATTTGGTGATATGAGAAAAACTGATATTTCTTGTTTTCTGTTTGTAAACCGTTTGAGTTCCATGAAAGAAATTTTTATATTCTTCTGTTTCAACTATTAACATCATGTAACACCGTGCCAAAGTTATTACCTTTCAGCATAACAAGCCTTTGTGATATTTTATCCATCATGCACATTTTATTTTGAAGCATGTCCATCTTGGTAATTTGTTCAGGTTGGGTTAGGGGAGTATCTTTATTTCTATCTGATTGTTGTTCATCACCTTTTTTGGCAGTTTGTGCATAAGTTCTACCTTCAACGACTGTTTTGGAAGTGAAGACTTTTGATGTATGTTATTCGTTGCTTGGGACGATTTGTTGTCCATTAGATTATTTCTTCTTTTCTATATTCTTAAGCAACTACGCATCCTCTATAGTTCATGAGATAATCTTTATTGGAATTTACAAACAGAGGAGGAGTCCTCTTTTTATTTTTGTAATCGATGGTTTTCTGAGTGTCCGCGCACTTTATGCAGGCAGGTATGCACTGGCAGAATTTCTGGATGTGTTCAAACCTCTGACACTTCTTGCATTGTAGTATGAGGTTGTTTCTTTTCCCAGGTTCAATTGTGACCTTCATGTGACTCAAGGAATCTATTTTTAAAAACCTTTTGATATCTTCTGAATTTTCAGATGTTAACATGAACAAGGTTAAAGGAAACATCACCGTTCACCTTTGTTTTTTGTAGTATTTATAACGCTAACGATCTTAAAGTTGTTAAGTTTTACTTCCTCTTTGATTTCTGTCTCTCTGCATGTAGGATGCAGGCCCTTTACTATGACTGTTTATCCATGCCTATTTAGTTCGTTCTCATAGGTATTCCATTCTATTTCCATTTATTTCAATATTCCGTCAGTTCCCTATATTCTGGTTTTGATTCCATGTTAATCTTAATTTGTTGATTGTTCAGCATAACAACTTTAAGATTTTTAGTCTTCATATTCTGAAGGATTTTATTGTAGTCTTCCACACCGCTAAGTATTATTGGTGGTGGTTTTGTATTTTTTGCCATGGAATTCTGCACAACCCTATTTTCTTCCAAGGCTAAGTTTTTTGGTGAACTTCAAGCTCTTCTTTTCTTACATTTTGATAAAATCCGGTCTGTCTCTCTGGCTACTAATGTATCTTCCTCGTCGGAGTTTTCTGGACTGTATCTTTCTGTGTATGATCCTGCTCTGGTCCTTTCATGTAGTTCTTTATATTTATTTTGTGTATGTTGAGTTTCTTTCATTATTAAAAAGTTCACTTTTGTCTGAAGATCAGTTATGCTAGTTCTGAGCTCTTTATTTTCAGCAATACATTGCTGCCATACATTCCATAACTTTTCTGTAATTGTTTGTAATTGATCTTCTTGTAAACACACGTCCTTCTGATATTCGTGGCATTCTCCTTCCTCCTTGTTTGGTTTTGTTGGTGTTTTTTTGCTTGCGTTTCAGTTTCTATGGTCAGTCCCACGAGTAGCTAGGGAGTAGCTCCGTCATCTCTAGAAGAGGCCCACTTTCTAGAGTAAGGCACAATGTCAATCAGAGTTTGCCAATTTTTGACGAGCACACGTTTGCGACTTCTTATCCTCAGTTACGTCGTTCCGATGCAGTCCCTCGGCACGGCTCACACCTTGGGCAAAGGTATTTTTTTTCGAGGTTGGTTCTTCTAGATCCGCCGTGTTTTGTCAAAGCAGGTGTACCTCTGGGCGGATGTGGCTCTTCACCACGAACGGACGATCATGGGCAAACAGAGGCTTATTGACACAAAGCATCTGTTTTACGCTTCACTTGCCCCTGGGTTTGGTGAGCTAATCCCTTATGGTGAAAGGTGCTACGCCTCCTTAAACCCTTAGCCCCCTGGGGAACATGGCTTAAAATTTTGACACAGCTAACCATCAAATTTTCCTATATTGTGACAAACACATGTGAGTAGGTTCGTTCCACATGTCCACACGTCGTGAGACGCCTGTGTCAAACGGGTGAGCGAGCGCGCAGTTCAAAAAGAGCGTGCGCGCCGCCAAGGAAACTGTTGCCCGCGGTACCCTCTGGACAGCGCTGGAAAATGACGTGAAATCAGCCGGAGAGGGGGAGACGCCGCGCTACCTCTACATCGGAGGGGGCGTAGATAAATACGCGAACCCGCGTGCGGTAACTTTCTTTCGTTCCCGTTCGCCGATCCAGCATCACGTCGCCTTAGATATTGTCGGCCGCAGCAACGACTACGTTTATTAGATAGGAGTGTTGGACGTCGAATAGACGCCTAGTCAGCCGTCTGCAAAATTTCATAGTTTTCCGGAAGTAATTCTTCCGACCCCAACGCGGGAAGTGATATTACCCGTTTTAGGAAAGTAGTACGCGCTGATATCTAGTAAAGTGCAGTCAAGCGCGTGAGAGGGCTGCGCGAACGGGGAGAATTAGAAGGAGAGTGCGAGGGAATTAAGGACGCGGAAGGCAAAATAATTAAATTCAAAGTTCTAGCCATTTTGAATCACTAATGCCACTAAATAAATTGTAAATAGGTCATATTCATTCTCGTTATTCATTGCAACAGCAAAAATTGTGTAAATAAAGTGGTCCATTTGCACACATTTTCGTGTAACATTGAGGGAAAATGATAAATTGTAAATTGTGTTCATATGAATAACTGAGAACTGCAATGAATAACGAGAATGAATATGACCTATTTACAATTTATTCAGTGTAAATAGGAATAATAACAGATTTAGTCAACCAGAGTTACAAAGGGGATTCCCAGTTGTTATTAGGGTGATTATTTTGTGAGTAGATTTTTAAGTTATTGAAAGGGTCTCAATTTTTTTTATTTTTTAATGTGGAGTGATTTGTAAGAGACGAAGGGGTTTTTTGAAATTATTAAACCCAGTTTAACTGATTTATGTGTTCTTGTCCACGGATTGGCTCTCAACACCCCAAAAGATCCCACTGTCCAGTGATATTATTAGCTCGCAAGAGCACGATATCTGCAAACCACCCCAACGGGCGATTCTATGAAAGTCATGGTTGCAGTAGAGGCGGTTTCGTCAGAATTTAAATTTAAAAAAAGTGGATATTAGAAGAAATGCTTCTAAAATAATGGAAAGCTAATTAACAAAGACAATATTCTGTAAAATTAAATTATGTTTACCGTATTAATTTGTTGTCAAGTGAGGCAAGGCACTTCCACAAGGTACTGTATTGGGACATGTATTATTCCTACTATATGGGAATGATATTTTTGATTTTATGTCACATGGTGAAGTTGTACGTGGAGTATTTTATCTGTAATAAAATACACCTGCATAAAATTATAACTAAAATTATAGATGCAGGCAACAGCACTCGGAAATAACTAAGTACAACCCTTTTAAAGTGAAGTTCTGTTTTAGATTGTGTTAACAAGAAACAGAAATACTGTACTTTGCTCCTTCATCAGTAATGAATTACGCGCTTTATCTTTTCTCTGCGCAGTTGGTTCTTCCCTTTGTACCTTCTACTGGGATTGGTGATTCCTGTGAGTATCCCTGTCTTCTTGTGGTCAGAAGATTTGGCGAATTCCTTCTTGATCTGCTATGCTTTTCGGACCGTGTACGTTTGGCACGTGACTTGGTTTGTCAACAGCCTCGCGCATTGGGAAGGATCGCGGCCATTTGATAAGTGAGTATCTCGAACCAGACAGATTTCAAGACCACTGCTTATGTCTTATAAATGCATTGTCGCGTCAACCCTAGTGCAAACGTTGAATGAGGGCGGCAAAAGTTTACGGCTTTTTTTAAATGCCTGCATTATTTTTCTTTTTTCTCTAAAAAGAAAAAAGTGTAGTCTATCATTCACAATTATTAAAAACACTTTTCTATTAAATTACGATTCGAAAAAATAAATAGCGTAATACTAATACCAGTAAGTACTCTTAATATAAATTTAGAGCAGCTTTAGATCGTCAAACGTTAAAGGAAGAATAAAAAGAATATACCACTCAGACAATGAGTCCTCGTGGACATAACACGTCGTGGTTCCTGAGAGAGAAATATTAAAAGTGACTATTCCAATAGCGTTTAAATATACATAAAAATACTCCAAGCAGGGCAGTCTATTTCAATAACTTTATCGCTTTTTATATCAGATTTTTCTTACCGCTGCTTCGTATTGGCCTGTCATAAACTGTGACACATCAATCTTTGGAGGCGGTATGTACCGCGTATGTACTATAACATTACCTATTCGATATTAACATAGCTTCCAGTTATCAATTTTTGGTGCATTTTAGAACACTGTTAGGTTCAATTTCACTCGTGGAATAGTCCTATTAAATACCACACGTGCTTTGGAAATTCTCAGATAAATCTCCTCCTCGCTACGTGAGTCGGGGATTAATCGACAATTTTCAAAGCACTTGTAGTAATACCAATGATACGAGAAGTTCTTAAATTACACTTACCGTAAAACCAGTGTAGACAATTTAGAGACATTACTGTAAACTCTACTTTATTTTTAGGAAAAGATTGTTCCTGAATAGGCCAAAATACTCCTTTATTAAATTGTTTTATTCTTGGAATAAGAATTCACATAAGCCACTCAGTTCATAGCACCATTTTCATCCTTTATCTGGCAACGCGTCTGAACGTGCGAGACTGTTGGGAATGGGAAAAATGCGATTATATTTTAACAAGTCAGTTATATTTTTCAGAACTTCCCATGGGGTACGAAAAGAGTCTATATAAGGAAGGCATTGGAAATGTATGTTTATTAATTACTACTGTATCTTTAGTAGATCAATTGACTAAGATGAGAGGAGATATTATAAAAATAATTATTATTGTTATTATTGTTATTAAAGATTATAGGGCGATAGATTTGTAAATTCAGAGACAGTGGCAGAAGTAAGTTTGAAATTGATATTCAATACGTGGAGTTGAGATTGAGAAATTATGGAGTTTTTTATTAAAATTGGTATCGTAACGTGGCTAGTCTGTCGAGCCAAGAAATGAGCAAAATTGGATATAAAAATGTTAGTTGATGGAGTTAGGTGCATTTTGTGAAAATAACGACATCAAACAAATTAAAAGAATATCAGTTAACAGATACGTACCCATAGATTATTCCGCATAGAAAGAAATGTTTCCTAAGCTTTTTGATGAAACGCAAAAGGAAAGCTTATATTATACTATGGATAATGAATTGATAATGGAAGTAAACAGTTAAGAATTAGTAGAATCGTAGTAAGAGAAGAGGACGTAATGCCTTTCCCACTCCACAACCCGTAATGCCTGTCTGCATTGAGGGTTGCATTAAACAATGAAAAGCTTCAGAAAAATACGATTTTCAATAATATTTTATTAATTGTTACTTATAATCTATATTCATTTTTCACTCGACCGCCATGCAGTCCAGACATCGCCGAGCTCTGCTGCTTATCAGTATTGATAAGACCGCCGGGGCTTCAAGTGCAACGCTGTGTCTGCGCGTCATATTAAGTTCTAACTTTGCGCTACCAGTGAGGTTTCCGGAGTGCAAGTTCAACAAATTTAGTTGTTTCAAACATTACGGGTGGTGTGAGACTGGCTACATTACCCTGTCAGTGCCTGTGATCTGTGTCAACAACCAGAACCTCAATTATGGATATGCAGCACTCATCGCTCTCTGAGGCGATTCAGGGGCGCTGAACTCAATCAACGGAGGCCCTCAACAGCTCCCCGCATCCATCTTCCATCAACAACCACCTCCGGTTTACCATCAGATTCCACGTTCAAGCCACTAACGATGGCAAGGATAACCGCAGCATGCTTTCGCACCAGGCGTAAGTAAGTTCGCTCCCCAACGCACTTCCATGCTACGTAACCCAGCCAACAACTAAGAGTGCTGGCATGGCCAATTCCATCACTATGATGCCTCCAGTGAAGTAAATTTCCCTAAGAGAAAGCGTGTTGAACAGGTGAACGCCGAACAATACCAGAACTCAGTTTTCTCGCCGAATATATTTGCCGCATTAGCCAATCTCGACGACGCTTCAGACAGCCAGAAACCCTCCCAGCTTCCACGCCATAGTAGTAGAACCTAAGTCACCACGTATGTTTGTGCACGGAATAGATCCAACAAATTTTCGAAATCTCCTAGAAGAATTCTGCATAATGTTTGTGAATAGCGTCTCCACATCTAGTCGCGGCCAAGTAGTAAAAGTAAATACTCTCATAAGCTCATACTTCAGAAACACAATAAAATTCCTAAAAGGACATGAGTTCCATACCTATAGTGACCCACATAATAAGCGCAAAAGTCCTATAATTTAGGTCGTACATACCACCTTCACAGATGAAAAAGTCAAGAATGACATTGTAGAACAATACATAACACAGAGTAAAGTCACCTACCCTTACAAATCAGATGGATCCCCAATTCGATCTGTGCAGTAGAAGTAGACAACAATGAAGACTTTGAAAAACTGTGTAAAATCGAAACTACGCTACACAATGTTAGAAAAGTTGAACTCAAAAAGAAAAGCCAATCAATAGTGCAATGCAAAAACTGTACAGCAAAGACCACATATCTACCACGTGTACCCCCCCCCCAACACTGAGCGTATGAGCATAGAGGACCTGACAGAAATTATACTTTTTTTCAGAAAACCAACCACCCTTCGCCAAGTCTCACCCACCCATACCTACAAAACGCTACCTCGCCCAATCTCCCCAACCAGCCAATCCCCATATTCATAATACACATCCCTACCCCCACCCGCACACCAACACTACCTCATCAACTATCCTCTCCCCTCAACGTTAAAAATTTCCCACCCCTCCCAACCCTCCTGGAGCTATTCCCAGCCCAATACCCAAAATCAATTTGTAGTCAACATTATCAACCAGATACTCCTCCCTGATTCTCCTAATACAAAATATAATTATGTTCACCCTCACTCCTTTTATAAACAATGGTTCCTGTTAATTACCATAATATCAACCTTATCAATTAGAGTCCCAACGGCATTATCAAAAAGAAACTTTACCTTGCCCACCTACTTGCCAAATACTCCATTGACATAACCATAATAACCGAAACCCACTTCCTTTCGAAATCAACATTTTCCATCCCCGGCTTTTCTATATACCGATCAGACAGACCTTCTAACAAAGGCTCAGGCGGGGTCGCAATCCTCATCAAAAAAATCATCATTTACCACTATCTACTGCCCCATTTATCACCCCAGGCATTGAAAACTCAGCAATTGCCCTTCCCAACGTGCAGGACCATCCATAAACATAATCGCCATTTATAAACCACCCATATCCAGACTAAACATAACCACTTAAAACTGTTATTTGCAGCACTCACCTCTACCATAGCCATAGATGATTGGAACTCCAAACACCAATTGCGGGACTGCCTCGCAACTACTCCAAGCAAAGCCGACCAACTTCTTAATTTCTGAAATGCTACTGCTACTCCTGCTGACCCTACGCATTTCTCATAAATCCCCAAATATCACCCGACATCCTGGACATAATACCAAAAATATTCACCATGGAATTTTCCAACCCATTTGCGAACTCTTATCACTCGCCACTTCACATTTCCTTCAGAGCTTCCTGGTACTCTTAGTCCAACCAGACAACAACCTGGATCCATTTCCTAGCCCCTCTTTCAGGACTTCTTAAACACCTACCTCTCCATTTCATACTTTTCAATAATTCAATCGAAAAAATAGACCATCAACACCCTAACGCCAACCATAATAGCAGCGACGTCCAATGTTTCAAACCCCTCTCATTCGACCACCAAACCTATCCACTCCCTCGTTTTCCCCTCTCATATCCTTCACCTCATACAAGCCAAACGCCGTGTCAGAAGGAACTGGCAGCTCATAAGATTATCCTGCCTGAAAACCATTATTAACAACCTTACCCACAAAGTCCACGTAGCTATACCAAAAACTGCTGACCAATACCAAAAACGCCCGCATCCCATCTTTCATGTTCAAACTAGCTCCCAATGCGCCTAACGTATGGAGGGCAACAATAATCCTAACTCACTCTTCCCCCATAATGCTTGCCCTATTCTCGAACTCGAACACTGCAGTCTCTAACGTAGAATAAGCGAACCTTCTTGCCAACCATTTCGCCAACTCCTTCACCCAACACCTACCCAACAACCCAGCATTTACCTCCAAAATCAACGCCTTCATCTCCCCCTCTCCCCAGTTTCAGAGCCTATCAAATATATAACTGCATCAAATATCGCTTCCATCTACAAATCTCCCCAAAACAGCAATTTTCAATGGCTGTCTTAGTCTAAATTCCTACAGCCTGGAAGCACTCCATCATAATTTCGATACTCAAACCCAAGAAACCTGGCATAACTCAGGTGGTTATCGCCCAATTAGCCTCCTCCCAAACTTCGCAAAAATATTCGAAAAGCTGATTCTCTCCAAGCTGAACGGCTTTGCTAATCAAATAAAAAGTATCCCTCCAGCTCAATTTGGACTCCGCCCCCTCTGCTCAACATCCCAACAACTTCTTCGACTGGTAGTGCCCATAGCACTAGCTCTCCCAATTCGAAAAGAAACATTTCACCGCGGCCGTTTTCCTTGACTATTCCTAAGCTTTCGTCCGAGTTTGGCAATAAGGCCATCTATATAAACTACGGCTCCTTGGAACACCCGTCTACCTATTAAACATCATCAAAGACGTCTTCAACAACCGATTCTTTGCAATCAAAGTAAACAACTCACTATTCCAACTATTTAAATCATTGCAGGAGTCCCTCAAGGCTCTTAACCTACCCCAACGGTCTTTAAGGTATTCACCCACGTTATCCCGAGCCACCTCTCCACCGAAACGGATCTCTATGAACATGATACTGTTTTATTAACATCCAGTCAGTCTCACCAAGACGCTTGTTCTACTCTGCAGGAAGCTCTAAGCGAATTATCTAGTTGGCCATTAAACTGGCAACGAAACCTAAACCCCACTAAATGCATTGCCGATACTTTCACCCTAAGACGTATCCCGCCTGGGTCACCCTCTACATATTATCTCCTCCCCTCAAATGGTCAAAACTTAGCACATCTATCGCTTACCTTGTAGTCCATTTGGACACCCGTCTGACCTGAAAAGCCCATATACGCTCACGCCTAAATCTAGCCTATTCCCCCCTTCGCAAACGTTATCCTCATATTAATAGAAAATCATCCCTCAACCTAAGAACAACCCTAAACATATATAAATCCCTATCCCTCCCTGCAATCACGTATGCAGCCCTAATATTGGGAGTAGCATCCCCCTCAACAATAAAATGCATCCAAACTCTACAAAGACAGCCCTCCGCACAGCCTTAAATTCCCCATAGTACACTTCAAAAGTAGAAAATTACAATGACCAAAACTTCCATCCAGGAGCCAAGCACATCGCCCGCCTCTCACCGCCCGCTTCATCGCACCGCCCGCTTCATAACGTCCCTTTCCAATTGACATTTGCACTCACCACTCATTTAAACACATTGCCACTCACCCTCATTCAAACCGCATCCACTCTAGATTCCCCAAAGAAAAATTCCGTCCTCCGCAACTCCAATTGTATGCTCACATCATAAGCCCCGTTACCATACTCATACAAACCACCGGCAAAAGCTCCTAAATACCTCACCCCGATTTTCCATTGAGGAGACATGTACTATTATGTACATATGCATAACCACACACACACACACACACCAACGGTCCTCTTAAGTGGTTATGTACGCTGTATCATAAAAGTATTTAATAAGAAAATCCACGTCATTAATTCCACGTTTCTGGTTTGATGTGTTCTCACTTTGCGTTGATATGTCAGTCTGTCAGTTGTTCTGTATAATTTGGGATTAGGTGCCTTTTGTTTTTGCTCTAGAGTTACTGCCCCCAGGGCCTTGTCCAAGAGGCTAATTTAATCCCTGTCGATCTGGTCTCAAATGAAGCTCTGCAAGTTTGGAAAACATTCATTAATTTTTCAGGGTACTTTACATGAGCCCCTGGGACATTTTAAAAATTTTATCAAAAATGGTACAAAGTTATTTTAAAGAAATTCTTTTAAGAGTGGAGTAAAATTATACACTTATAAATATGCCATATGTCCGGTTTTCACTGTTAACTCCGAATGTTTGAAAATTGGAAAAACTTTGATTTTTCCTTCCTACTACTACAGAATTGAAGATCGAGATTTTTCCTTCAAGTAAAACGTTTTCTCCATAATTTTCATTAAAGTCATGCACATTTTTTGAAAATTTTAGTAGTATTCGCGCAATATATGCCATATATAAAAATAACAAAAGATTTTCTCCAAAATGGCTCCAGATATTTTCTTTAACCTTTTGGTAGGGATAGTGCTAAATGTACTTTATAAAATGACATAACCGCTATTTTGAAGTACTCTTTTGTTTTTTCAAAACTTACAAAAGAAATTAAAATCTCTCAAGCCGTTAATACACACATTTCCAGCAATGTGTAAAGGTCATTACATTTGTAAGTGAAAGTGCTCCAAATGAAGTCTAATCAAGTGTTTTATTAACTAAAAAAGTTTACTGTGAAGACTGAGAAAATAAAAAATGCACTTTCGGCAGCGATAGATGGCAGGTATTAAGAGGATGAGGCAAAATCGAAAAGCTTGCCTAGACCAACAAAATTAGAGAACTAACTAGTACGAAAAAACTCAGTGTCATTCTGTAGCGCCACAAGTTATACATTGCACACGCTTTTGATAAAGTTTGACATCATTGTCTGGAATTTAAAATGAGTAAAGTACTTACTTTTTTTGGTTACTCCTTCAGTGTGATAGATATTTGAAAGTCAAGCAAGAAAATGCCTATACCACTTTCTGTGGAATTCAAGTAGGCGACTCCCAAGAAAGCTGGGACCAATCGTCTACTTTCCACATGTGTATAAGTGGTGTACTAAATTATAGAGAAACATCAATAGAAACGTTTGCGGACGACTCTGCTTTGTTATCCTTGGGAAGAAATATGCAAGGACCAACAAATAAATTACAGATCGCAACAAAGTTGCACAGTGAGCTCAAAAATGGCGCATAAAACTCAGTGAGACCAAGACACATCAAGTATATTTTACCAATTGTAAAGGGGAGTCTTTTCCAAAAAGGATCAATAGCAAAGTCTTTGCAGTAGCAAATACAACGAAATATTTGGCTACGGATTCAAAGGGAAGGATCACGTCAAAATAAATAAAGTGCAACTGAATTTGAAAATCTCAATAAAATGAACTGAGTATTTGGAAGATAATCTGTTGTCCGTTCATTTAAAATTGCTATTATACCAACAACTGCTAAAATCAATACGGACATCTGCCATACAGCTTTGGGGATATGCCAGAAAAATTCATGGGCACAACATTCAGAAAATTCACAATAAGAGACTGCGCAACGCGATTCACTTATTTACACTGACGGAAAAAATATTGCAGCACCTCGATAGCATTGTACGGTTTATTCCTCCGTACAAATACAGTACATCCAGACAGACTACTATACATGATTACATGGGTATAGCTATAAGAGACTCGTATGTCCAGCAGTAGATAGAGTCGAGGTCCGGAAACTCCACATCAATACTGCATCACATTAATACTGCGTCAATACAGGAGGCGATTAGTGTCCTGCAGTACCCTATTCCACGCCTCCTGCACCACCTCACGCAGAGCAAGAAGAGTTGTTGGGGAAATCACAGAACGGGCCAAGAGTTGGCACATCAAGTCCCATACATGCTCGATCGGGAATACATCCGGCGAGCGTGCCGGCCAAGGGACTTGACAAACATCGCGGAGAGCGTGTTGCGTAGCGCGGGCAGTGTGAGGACGGGCATTGCTGCTGGAACAGCTCACCACTCTCGCGTATCAGATATCAGCACAGGCCACACAACGTGCTGGATGTATCCAACGCTGGTCAATGATCCCTCCACAAACACCAACCATGAACGCGCGTTGTAGCTGATGGCACCCCACACCATCACTCCCGGGACGGGCCCTACATGACGTGGACGAACACACTCCGGTCGCACACGCTCGCCTATGCGACGTCACACATGCACACAACCATCACTGGCCTGCAGGCAGAAGCGGCTCTCATCACTGAACACCACTGCACTCCATTCCGTCTCCCAGCTGACCCGTACATTCTACCACGCCAGACATGCCGGACGATGGTTCAGCGTGTGCGGCAGTCCGGCTAGAGGTGTCGGACGAATCCTGAAGCAAGTAAGTGGTTCCCAATGGTGCGTGGAGTCACGTTGGGGGTCACATGTGCCTTTGTATGTGCGGTTGGCCGTACGGTCTGTCCACGCCGCTTTCACGATGCGTCGAACTCGATGTTCGTCAGTGCTCCGCGGTCGCCCCGACGTGGATCTAGGGCTATGGAAATGCTCGTCTATCCCATCGTCCACATCCAGCACTGCAAAATTGACGTTTCACGTGGTAAGCAATGCACCGTAAGTACCACCCGGCTTCGCGCAGGCCGACAAGCCGACCCCACTGAAACTTGTTCAATTGTTGAGAGGAGGAACACGGCAATGCCGTGACATATCTAAGACCCGACTAGATCTTACCGCAGAGGACAGCGCCTGTTAAAGTCGCGGAGTTGATGGCGCGTCCGGGCCATTTCGTCAGGTTGCCATTAGGTCACAGGGCGAGTCATCCGTGAAATGATAATCATGGCTTCGACGACCCCCATCACTAACGTCCCTTATTACCTTCTTGATTGCCTTTCCGTTGTTGCAATACATTTTTTCGCTTGTGTCTATGCTAACTAACTACATCGTGATCTCCACATAAAGGATGTAGAACAAGTAATTAAAGAGTGAGAAGGAAAACATCAGCGACCTCTACCGAATCACAACAACATTGAGGCTTCAAGTCTTCTAAATTCTACTGTAAAAATAAAATTAAAAAAGAAGAAACCAACTAACTTTCTATGTGATTTATTTCATGAAATGTACTTTAGTGATCTCTGACCGTGGCCAAGTGTGTCATAAAAACTGCTAGTATTTATATTGTTAGCTCTAACACTTATGACACTTATTGTAGTTGTGTTAACAAACAATTTTAAAAAACGTCGCGAATTGTGAGTACAAATGCTAGCAATTTTTGCGGTCTTTGTGTTAGTAGTGACATATCCTAACATTCCTTAAGCGGTCGGCACTCTTTAACACTAACTAATAAGCTTCCTAATCTAACTCGCATCCTTTTTCAGGACACTGAAGCCCGTGGACTCTGCGTTCGTGGCAAAAGCGACCATCGGTGAGGGATGGCACAACTTTCACCATCGTTTCCCATTCGACTACACCACCAGCCTCGAGCACAAGTCCTACCACTGGTCAACAAGCATCATCAACTGGGCGTCTCGCCATGGCTGGGTCTGGGACCTAAGACGCGCCACCCGCAGCGCTGTGCGCCAGGCCATCCTGCTAAGCGGAGACGGCAGCGTCACCCCTGACGAGGTGATCGGCTAAGGACAACGAGGTGACGCTCACCTCGGACGCACGCCACAACTACATTGGAATGGACAGAACATGAAACGTTTGTACTACGATAGAGAGATGTGGAATTCGTGACAAAAAAGACATCCTTTCTCTTAAAGTTTCACGTTCATCTTTTTTCCGTAATCTTCTATGCCAAAAAATCTTTCTTGCAAACGTATGTTTCTCTGGCTGAAACTAACAAATTCTTAGCAGTGCTGGAAGAACCGTGTACTATGGATAGCTGCCAATGTTTTGCCCGACGAATGTCGGTATATGACAGGCGAGATGTTGGCAGTTGTGCCTAAGCTTGGGCGTTTTCAGGACAGTAAAGAACATATTTTCCCCGATACTCGCCAACGAACAGCGCTGTACTTTCGTTTGTGAGTGATGAGACCGTTTCTATCTTGGTTTCGCATTGAAAATTCGATGAAGAAACAATGCGGACGAAATAGATCTTTTGTTTTGAAAATGGAAATGTTTTATCCGCTGATTGTTTGTTTCTCCTCTGTTTTTATCTGCCCGTTCCTCTGTAGCTTACACTATTGCCCATTTGTTTCGTTGATGAATTTATTCATCTGTTTTTAAGCGTAGTTATGAAATGCCCACATTTTTGCTGTCAACCTTCCCTAGCGTAGTATGCGCTATGCTAAGTAGGATCTGAACCCATCCAATAATTCCAAAAAGAAAAGAAAATTCCAGCTTCCTTGCAAATATTACGAGAAATCAGTTAATAAGAAGGTAGCAAACACCGTCGTAAGACAATTTGTAAATAAACTAGAATATTGGACAAATAATAGTCCTTTCACATTACAACGGAAGAAAAATCAAATGAAACCAAGAATATCTCTGCATACTCACAACAACTTTTGGAGAGACAAAGCGCAGGTCCACATCAAGAGCCTTTTTAAAACAAAGAACTTGTCAAAAAGATATTCCCAGTGTCTGCACAAACAAGGTCGAAACGGACTTCGTCAAATCATCAGAAAACTATTTCTGTCGCAAACGTTCAAATCGCTAAGTGAATTGCCAAGTGGCGGGCGAGCAACATTCAACATTCAGAAGTTTGGAATTATTTATGAAAATCTTTGGTGACGAGTCCTCATCTTCGACAACATTTTTCTTTTCAATATCACTAGGCGACATTTCCGACGCAAAACGCTGTCGCTTCGGATGTGATCAAGAGTATTTATGAAATTCATTTACGATAAGAAATATCTATTTTGAAGTTTTTAATATAAATAAAAATTCTCAATGTAACATTAATTTAATATTGTATTTTATTTTATTTAAAATAAAGTTTAAATGTAGGAACAAGACCATATTGTAGGTCAAACTCTAGATGAAACATTTAATCACCATTTAGCATTTTTTATTCTCCATCAAAGTTTATTAATCCTTTCTGACTTAATGATAAAGTAGGGAATAATTGCATTCATTGTTATAATTTATTTTATGTTTCTTGGCAATACAAAAAATGTTTTTACTTTACAGTGAAAAAATAACTTCGAGTAAATGAATTTTAAACAATGCAAAGTAGTATTTTATTAAACTTTTTTCAAAATATAACATCCCATTAACATTAACGCTTCTGGTTCGCAGCGTCAATATGGCAATCGAAAAAAGGGCCATTTTATCCCTTTCGCAACGACGCTTCTGAGACCTATGTACGCCTCTGGTTATTTGAGCAGACCGGTAGAGGTGGATTAGGGCATCAGCTGATGTCACTGGGGTTCCTCTGACCGAGAGGTAACAGGTTCGAGTCCTGACTGTGGCAGGATTTTGGCTGGAGAGTTAGGTCGAATTCAATTGCTGTCTGGAGGAGAATTCTATCGTCAGGCTGCTCTGATCCGTAGTTTTCCGTGATTTCTTCTATCAATACCCGGGGTGTGGCCCGCTACGTGTCAATACAGGTCGCCGGGAACGCTGGGGAGACGCTCGGGCGCCCGGCTCTAGTCTAGTGAAAGTCCTGTGTACCGCTTCCTCTAGAATACTAGCAGGTACCAAATACCCTTATCGTCGTAAATAAATCGTACAATGATAACTAAATTATAACTTTAATTACTCGATTAATAAATACATTTAATTTTATATTGACCTTCTTTCAAGGCGTTTTGGAGAGCCTCTACCTCAAATGTGTTTATGTACAGGTTTATAGTGAAAGTCGGAATTATCTAAAAAAAGATAAAGTACATTAAAAATCGATCTATATGTGTCTTTCAGATTTGTAATACTTCAAATACAGTTTTTAGCTTCCGCTTCATTCAGAATGTTGGCAAGTATCAAATACTCTTTTCGGGCGAATCGGTCTCAAAATTACCCTACATGTCTGTATACCGTCATCCAACGCATTCAACTGGTTCATCACAGACAATCCTCTTAGACAATCACACATCAAGTATAATAATAAATTTGAATTTCTTCAATGATACTTACGAATCGTTCATTTCAAAATGTAATATTGGCAATGGATAACATCATAGGCGTAACAAGACTAAAACAAGAGGGAAGCAACTACATTTCTGAGCCTCCTTTTTCATTGCACTTTCATTTACATATCACATATTTTACTAGTAAATAAATAAAATGTACAATGAGAACTGAATTATAACTTTTATTATACAATTAATAAATACATTTAATTTTATGTTGAATTTTTTGCGAGGTTACCAGACCAGCCTTCCCCTCAAATGTGTGACAACTACCCAAATTCTCAGGTTTGTAAGGAGGAATGTCAGGATTTAAACCTTACTGAAATACAATGTTTTATTACGTAAGATTACGGTACCCCCTTCAAAATTGTCAGAGGGGTCACGGTCACCTGCACCCCCCTATGCGCACTCGTTTGGGGAGCATAATGTATATTTGTTCAAATATTTGATAAAATGAATTGGGAATTAATATTACGAAACAACTTTTCGAACTTCAATTTTCAATTCAAGAAAGTTAGGTTCGCGATGTATGTTATCTGCCCCACGAGTTTTGCCAATTATTCCATGGCCACGAATTTTGCCAGTATCTAGGCCAATTGTTCCAATATCCGTATTGCTGAGCCGATTCTGGATAGCTTGAGGGCGAATTATATGACTGATAACCATAACGAGGCCAGTACCATCCTGAAAAACCCTGTTGACCACCGCCATTATTATTGTTGTAGGTGACCTGGGGAATAGAACTCTGTAGCGAAGGAGTATCACCAGGCCTAGAAGAACCGGCTGACCCTGAGCTTTGAGGCTGGGAAGCAGTCTGTGGCACGTAATGGCCCGTGTTAGCAGAACTAGACTGATTCGAACTACCCTTCGATCCTCCGCTGAGAATCCGGTTATCTTGTCCCATCTGGTCTCTAATCCACGGCAGGAACGAGGCGACTCGCGTGTATAGGCCTGGAGTCCCGGGCTGACCACAACCGTAGCCAAACGACACTATACCTGCATAGAAAGTACAAGAAAACGAAAACAAAATTAATGTTATGGCGTTAATGGCATTTATTTATAAAGTCAACGGAAATTTTCTGCTACTAATAAAAAGACAACTGAACTTTCTTTTCTGGAAAACAGAAAATGTTTTTGTTTATTCTGAATCACTAGTTCATGAGATAACTACACTGCAAGTATTATATTCATTTAATAAAATAAAAAAACTAATTAATTAGAATGAAAAGGCAGATGAAATTGAGATTTTCGTTCGTACAAATACGACAAGTAACGTTTCATGTACGTTGATCTCTTACTGAATTCAGGAGTATCATTTATAAGAATAAACTATTTTATCAGCCATGAACAACGCATTGAGCTTGGAAAGAAAAGCACTCCAAACCAATTATATCGCGACTGACCTACTGGCCATAACATGCATTTATAACACCTGTACTGATACCAATTTCTGTCGAAACCTTGGCAGTGGTATTCCGTGACTGAAAACCAATTTCATGCAACATCATACTTTCATTCGAAAGGATTCTTGCGTTAGATGGATCTATTAGCCTGATTGGATTTGAATGGCACCTCTTGTTGCCGGTAAATAAAACAGAATTATGTGAAAAAGTGCAGAATGTTGCAAAGCAACAGAGTAAACATGACCTAATAAAGAAACGATTGCAGATTTCATTTAAATCTAATTATTTTCAGCGCTCATTCGTGGAAACTACTACTTCCGTTTTCTGTTTTATTACAGTTTATTAAAATCGTTCTTCGCTGTTTACGTCCGGTTAAGCAGCATTTTACACCAAAGTAAATAAAGTATTATATTTAACAAAATAAACAAAGCTGTGGGGGCGGCATGAATGAACATATACGATTTTCGCATATTTCGATTGTGACATCTCGCATATTGTGAATTATCCCAATACTGTTGCTGTTATTTTCAATCAACAGTAAGTTTCCGTAATGTAACTCACTCGTATGAAAAATAATGTACCTCAGTCGCCAGAAAGTATCTTTGGCATATTCATTTGAAAATATCTTTCTCAGCTTCTATCACAGCCTCGTCTGTCAATGTATCATTCATCAGCTATAGACCTATTTTTCCATATTAGTTATGTACATAACTCCCTACATACTAATGTACTAACGTACGTACGTACGAAATAATATGAATATTTTCGCCTTCTACGTACTTACGTTTAGTTCAGTCAAAAGGTATCTGACTGAGGAAAAAAGTCAGGGAGTTTTTTTCAACAGTTTTATATGTTTTTGAGGGTACTGAAGTCGAATTAGATGTTTGCCACCCCAAAAATGTCGGTTTCTCAGAGAAATATGCAAATAACCCTTAAAATTTCGCCCCGTTTTTAGTTTTTCGCTTGTATATTCAAAACTATGCGTTATATTAAAGGAATTGTTATTTACAAACTTGAAGACCATAAAATTTCCTACAAAAGTTATATTTTAACTTTTATTTTCTGAAATACCGTTTAGGCGACAGAAATGGGTGAAAAACGAATACTTTTCGGGCCTTTGATCGATGCGGGAAAATACCGCTTTCCAGCCATCCTATCTCGCGTCGGCGCTCTTGTTTCACTTTAGCATGCTTGAAAACAACTATTGTGAACAAATAATTGACATTTTTAATTGACTAACACTCCGATACTCACGAAATAAGTAGGGGTGGACTTGCTCGCGCGGAGTGACTGTAAATCCAAGCCTTAGATTACCAAAATAGTAAGTAGGAAAAAAGAAAGTTATTACAATATGTCCTGTACAATACAATTATTCATAATTTTTTTACCGACAATATGTTTTATCAACACGTGCCATATTATGATGTCAAAGTAAGAATAACACAAAAGAAGACATTTTAGATATTAAGGCAAAATATTGAATGAGTCAATTTCATTGATGTTTGGAAATTAAAACTTCAGGTTAAAAAAGAAATAAGCACAACTATGCAATACGTACACTACAATACGTGTACGATGTTACGAAATACGAAGGTAAGGGACAACACCGATTTTATGTAATTGCCAATGTATTGTCTGTTTTGTAAATAAAGTTTTTCTGAATTATCGCTTATTTGCCAATAGCTGAGGTCTAAAGAAAATATCCATGTCAGTGATCGATACTGATGTAGTTACCTATAGAGAAAACAATGACATATTGCATTCTTTTAAAAACCGTACCATAGTGCGTGTAGACATGGGATTCTTTGGCAGATGTGTAAGGAGTCTGGCTTGGCCGAATGTAACGTTGCAATGGAGAAAGACACCTGATCCAAGCAAGAATGATATTTAATGAGATGCGCTATCACCGGCTTTTACACTCAATATCTGATGCACTCTTTTTGCTTTCTCATCTCTACCAGCTGTAATTCTAAAGATTGGTTTGTTACCGCCACGTTATGTTGCCTACGAGAACGTAGACTACTTCTGCAAATCTCCAACACTGATATACTAAATAATTTCCATGATAAGTACAGCGATGTTGATAATTCTGATTCTTGGGCGTGATATGAGGATCCTCGTAGAAAGTATGGAAATCTATAACTTGCCAAGGATTTTATGCGCCGGCTCTTGACTGTACCTGAAATGTCACCCCCACTCTCACGTACCAGCGTGACTCTTCAGCGGTAGCCCAACATTACCCTTTGGTGCAATCGGTACTTAGTATCAAGTTAGTTTATCACATCACGAACTCACTGTAAGATAATATTAACCTGTAATAGGTGCAGTCTCTTTACTCGTAGAAAGTGACTTTTGGGCCAGAAATAGGGTTGAAATATTTCGTTGAAGCAAGTAAGAGGCAACAGGATGGTAAGTTTTTTGTTTAAATGTAACACTCAAATTGAAATTCACGACAAGTGTAGGAGACAATAAGTATATGAAAAATTGATTTCTGCCTGTGAGAAGAGAGCCCAAAAAGAGGATGAATCACTTATACCTGACTTTGTCTTCAAAATTCATTGTTTTATTTGTGAAGAACAGGTATCACTAGACCTTGTGAAAAAACGAATCAGAAAGTCTCCCTCAAAACGCAATCGAGTATACCCTACTAATAGAGAAACAGTTTTAAGACTCGTAAGAAATCGTACAGATGTTTTAGGATGTGCTACTGTACTTTGCGTAAAGGCAGTAAATGACTTGGTAGCTGCTAATGCCCAGTATTATTTGTTGATTGACATGAAAGCACTACACAGCCCCCTAAATAAGACAGGACGAGGAATAACAATTTACCAACGAATAATTGATGCATGTGCTTCCAGGTGATTTTCGTTCTCGTCCAAAAATAGTTGATTATTTGAAAAGTATGGAAGCGATATATTGGTATCATTAAGTATACCTTAGGCTGCATGTTTCAAGTATTTACAGATACTCCGCACGAGTGAATCCGCCCCTACTGATTTCGTGAGTATCGGAGTGTTAACCATTTAAAAATGATAAATTATTTGTTCACAATAGGTGCATTCAAGCCTGATAAAGTGGCACAAGAGCCGCGAGATGGCTAGGATGGCTGGAAAGCGTTATTCTCCCGAATTGGCCAAAGGCCCGAAAAGAGAGAGCGAGAGAGAGCGAGCGAAAGTGAGCGAAAGAGAGCGAGAGAGAGGGAGAGAAAGCTCACGAGCGGGAAAGAAACGAGAGGGAGAAAAGCTAACGAGAAAGGGGAAACAGAGAGCGAGGGACAGAGCAGAGAGAGCGAGAGAATGCGACCGAGAGAGAGAGAGAGAGACATTGAGTAAACGTGAGAGATCGTGCGAGAGAGACAGCAAGCGAGATAGATAGAGAGAAAGCTAGAGAGAGAGAGAGAGAGGGAGACAGAGGGAGAGCGAGAGAGAGGAGGCGACAGAGATAGTCAGAGGGCGAACAAGATACAGAGAGAGCGAGCGAGACGAGAGAGAGATCGAGCGAGACAGAGAGAGCGTGCGAAACAGACATAGAGCAAGCGAGACACAGAGAGCTATAGAGGCAGAGTGAACGAGAGAGAGGGGGAGGGGCAGGAGACCCTGCGGTGGGTTCTGCTAGTAATAATTGTAAATATTGTGTAGACACATTGTTTTGCCGCCTCCAGAATATAAAGCTTCGTACTCAAATCCTTTGAAGGTATGAGAACAAAAGTAAAATATACATGAATATGAACTACTTTCTATGCCGCACCATCCCACGGGAGTCAAAGTAAAAGGAATGTTTAATCAACAATTTATCAGCATAACCAATTTTTACGCTCAATCGTTTTTCATTTCAATTCTCTGTAAGACACTCATAACTATCTCATCATTTAGATCCATGGCACATATTTAAAAATAACCATTTGACGTTTGATTTGAAAGTTTTACCATTAATGTTAATGGTAACTAATAGATACTACTTAATTCACTATACATATAAGAAAATAACAGCAATGAGAAAATGGAACTTACCAATCAAAATGTTTTTCCCGTTTTCTTTCACAATTAGAGGACCACCACTGTCTCCCTGCACAAAAAATTGGTTATTAAATATTCGTAGCTCATATAATATTACATCTTAGCACACTGAAACCTCTATTATGTGGGAACACAATATGCCGTATCTGTTTCATACACCCATTAATTGAAAAAGTGATAGTGCCTGAACCCTTATTGAACCTAAAAGGAAAAAGCCTCGATTAAATCAGTAGCATACCCAACAGCTAGAGTTGTTCGTTTGAAGTGGTTTTGATAAAATTTTCACGTTTTTCTTTGTTTTAGAGCATTTTTAAAGCATTTTATTGATCATTTTTGGCAATGTTCATCAACAATGGGCAATCAAAATCCACCCTCTAATCCACGCTATTTTATTAAATTTCTTACCAATACCAATTTATACCAAATAAATTACCAATACATTTTTCAAAAACAGAGGGCCCCGAAAATGTTAATGGCCTATCACCCCGCCATTTGCCTCATGTGGGGCAGCGCGCGCGCGTGCGGTGGTCTGACCTGGCAGGTGTCGACGCCGCCGGCGCGGCGGCCGGCGCACAGCAGCGAGGGCTGGCGCGCGTAGAAGTCCGGGATGGCGGAGCGCAGGCAGGCGACGCGGCCGAGCACGGGCACCGTCGCCACGTGCAGCTCGCAGGGCAGGCTGTTCAGGTCGCCCTCGCGCTGCTCCCCGAAGCCCGCCACCAGCGCCTCGCGGCCCGCCGCCTGTGGCTCCCACGACCCTGCGCACGCACACACGCACTTGCCGCCACCCACGCGCGGGCGGAGACAATCCACGCCGGTGGTGGATGCAGGGGGGCTGTACGTCCTGAAAAAGCGGGCTATGACCTGAATATCGATGTATCCTAGCAGGTTCTCCGTAGGGGAGGGTCGTGGTTTGAAAGCGGCCACCCGGACCCTGAGCTTCACGGCGCAACTCACGTCCAAAATCTGAGGTCGGTCCTCAGTGAGTAGATGGCTTGCTACCGATGTTTGGGTCGGATTGGGAGTGGAATGCATTAGCTGGCATTCCCTGTACAGCTTTGCGACGTACTTCAAACCCACATACAGAAGTCCAGGTAGGGAACACGAACCCATTTGCCGGGGTTGCCCTGGTTCCGGCAGAGGAGAGGAGAGAGAGAGGAGAGAGAGGAGAGAGAGGAGAGAGAGAGGAGAGAGAGGGAGAGAGAGAGAAGAGAGAGAAGGAGGAGAGAGAGAGCGAAGGAGAGAGCAGGAGGAGAGAGAGAGAGAGAGAGGAGCGAGAGAAGGAGAAGAGAGGAGAGAGAGGAGAGAGAGGAGAGAGAGAGGCAGAGAGAGAGGAGAGAGAGACTGAAGAGCAGGAGAGAGAGAGGAGAGAGAGGAAGGAGAGGAGAGGAGGGGAGGGAGGAGAGGAGAGAGGGAAGAGAGCCGGACAGTGAGAGAGAAGTAGGACAGGAAGGCTGAGAAGAGGAGAGGAGAGGAGAGAGAGGAGAGAGAGGAGAGGAGATGAATGTGATGAGAGAGTCGAGTAGAGATGGTGATAGAGCGAGACCGGAGAGGAGGAAGGAGAGAGGAAGAGAACGAGAAGAGGAGTGGAGAGCGAGAGGAGAGGAGAGAAGAGGAGGACGAGAGCGAGAGAGAGAGGAGGAGAGAAAGAGTAGGAGAGAAGAGAGGAGAGGAGAGGGAGA